GAGCACTGCTAGGCTATTGCGAAATATCTTCTCTAACCCCCCCCCCCCCCCCACCCCTGCCGTCACCCCCCCCCCTCCCCGCAAACGCTTTCCTTCCCCCGCTCCCCCCCTCCCCCCCCCTCATCCCTGAAAGCCTAAACCCCAAGCCCTAACCCTAAACCCCCAAGCCCTGAACCCTTATCAGTCATCAGTCCAGGAGCAGCTGGAGCGGAGTGCTGCATTCGAAGAAGCCGCATCAAGGCATCATGGTTTCGTTGGGTCAGGGTTGTGCGCGTTCTTTTTTTTGTTGCCGGCATCATGTTCTCAGCGTGAGACGCCACTGCCTTGGAGTTTGAGTTTAGGGCTTAGGGTTTGGGGTTTAGGGTTTAGGGTTTAGGGTTATACTACGATTGGGTCATTCTTAGGAACCCTTGAGGGGATTTTGTTTTTTGATCTTTGCAGGGGTCTGGGCCAGAGCAGGCAGCGTTCTGCAGGGTCAGCGGCGCCTGCACCAGCCTCTGCGTCAGCGCCGGAAGAGGGTTTAGGGTTTAGGGTTTAGGTTTTAGGGTTTAGGGTTGAGGGTTTAGGGTTTAGGGTTTAGGTTAAAGATCAGAAGGCTGCTGCGCGTCAAGGACCTGAAGCTTCAAGAAGTTTATGAAGCTACCCGAATCTTAGGACGAAGATCCCAAAGGCGCCAGTAGTAGCCTTTCCCTCCCCTTGGGGGTACGAATGCCCCTTGAATTGAAACGTTACGGCCGACACTTTACATGCTCAACCCCAAAGACAGCGTTTAGGGTTTAGGGTTGCTTGGCGATTGGAGGGGCTTCAGAATTTGGGGTTCCGGGTGTTTTTTTGTTCACCTTCTTTGTGTGCCTCAAACCCTAAACCCTTAACTTATGTTGTACTGAGAACAAAGAGGGGCTGTGAGGGTGAGACGGCAGTGGTATCCTAAAGCAGCCTCGGCTCAAAGCCAAGCACGGCCGAAACACAACGCTTACGGTTTAGGTTTGCGGAACAGCACCCATGAGCAGCTTCAAAGCACATATGAACCTTGAACACGAAATGCGCCAGCGTGACCCGAAACCCTAAACCATGAACCCTAAACCCTAAACCCCAAGCTCTAAACCCTAAATTCTAAACCCGCCAGCAGGCAGCTTCCCCTTGAAGTCAAGGAGGACCTGAAGGAACTGAGGCCGGTGAGCCCCTAAACCCTAAACCCTAAACCCTAAATCCTAAATCCTAAACCCTAAACCCCTAATCCTAAACCCTAAACCCCTAATGCTAAACCCTAAACGCTAAGGGAGCCGGCCATTGATGGAGGAAGGTCTATGGGTTTGGGGGCTCGTAGTTTGGGTTTTGTGTGGGATCTGGAGCTGCGCTCCTAAACCCTATATAACCCCCCAGAGGATCCCAACTCCATTTGGCCCGTCGATAGCCGTCCGGCCCGTGGTGTTAAAAGGTCGAGGGGTCGAGGGGCCAAGGGGGGGGCCAAGGGGGGGGTGGGGGGGCAGGGCCATATCCACCCAACAACGCATGCACAGGCCCACACCAAAAGAACATGTTCAAATATTAGAAGTTCTCATGCGCGTGAAAAAAGCATGTACGATCATGCAGCATATATATATATATATATGCATGCATGCAATGCGTAGTGGAGGGGGTGAAAAGGGGGTCAGGGCAAGATCCACCACCACCCCATTATGTATAAGCTCATGCCAAACAATCATCATGCATGTGCACATATATATGTTATGGATGCATGCGTGTATCCATGCATGCCATGCATGCGTGCCGTTGCAATTGTCTGTACAAACCACGCATGCCCTTAACCCGCGGAACCCAAACCCCAAACCCATGCGTGTGCAACTCGAACATTTTTCGCACTAGCTCATGCATTCGCAAGGCTGCCAGCTTTCTGGTCAAACTCGTGTTATACCTCAGTTGCATGCATCATGACTATATATGCATCACATGCTAACGCGTTGCTGTAAATGCATGCATGGTTGCAAGGAAGCCTGCACAGTGCATGCATGCTAGCCTTCAAAAAACGTAAGGTCAAAGACCATCTCATCATTGCATGCATGTTATAAGGAACAAAAATCGCAAAAGCCGAGCTGCAATGCGGCACGGCTGCAGCATACCATCGATCGATCGCGATTGTATACCTGCAGAGCAAGGCGCTATATATATATATATATATACAAGCATGTATATATATTATATATATAGAGTGCAGCGCAATGCGCTCCATGCATGCGTGTAAAATATGGTATCGATCTTAAGGCTAGTATAAAAAATAAAATAAATATATATATATATATATATATATATATATATTACATATATATATATATATATCTATATATATATATATATGTATGTATGTACATGCCATGCGTGTGAACCCTAAACCCTTATAACCCTAAACCTTAACCCTGAACCCTATAGATCCTAAACCCTAAATGTATATATATACATAATCTCTTGCTCCTATCACGGCCAGCACGCGGGCAATTTAAACAGCATATGTTAACAGCCATACTCATGCATGCAATTGTTCCGCAGATAGCGTTTGCCAGTGTCCACTATATAATATATATATATATAAGCCACCCAACACACGCAACACAGACACACACACACACACATGACACAATTTATAATACATGCATGCATGCACAACATGCACACAACACACTTCTTTTTTGCATGCAAAAAAAACATGCATTACATAAGGTTCGGGTTTACAAGTGCACAGCTGATACATGCGCGGAGCTGCCTCGACCCTTCGGCTTCGAGGTGCAGTCTGGCTTTCCTTTCGAGCCTGTCACAATTATAAGGTCAGGGTGGGTCCCGTCAAGGCAGTCCAGGGTGGGGACTTTGAGGTTGAAGGTGGTGAAATGTGGGTCTGAGAGTCTGAGGCTAGCCGACAAAGGGTCTGGGGCCTGGGGGTCTGCATGCAGGGTTTAGGGTTCAGGGTTCAGGGTTCAGGGTTCAGGGTTCAGGGTTTAGGGTTTAGGGTTTAGGGTTTAGGGTTTAGGGTTTAGGCTTTAAGGAACGAGAGGAGGTCATGGCAGGCACACGTGTTTTGGTCGCAACTGCTGTTACTCGCGGGTCGGGCTCGTGAGTCGTGAGGTTCACAAACTCAAAGATAATTTGCAAGGGGCACCGGCCATGCACCCAGCCGCGATTCAAGGGCTCGAGGTTTGACAGCCATATAGCTTGAGGTGTAGCAACAGCGGCTGTGTGGATGCACTCGGGGCCCCCTGGAGCATATGCATGTATAATTAACGACGATTCGGGTCGAAGCAAAATCTTCAATTTCAACTGTCCAGCAACTCGGGGATCTGCGCCTGCACAAACCAATCCACGCCAAGCCAGCTGCGGCTTTGCTTTGCAAAGCCGCGTAGTAAAACTGCTGTGTCGCGAGTCGGAGCGCGCGGAGCTGCTGCCAGCTAGTGCGGCTGCTGCTGAGCCTCGGGGCTAGCCATGCATCATGGCTGAACGGAGCCATTGCTCCCGCTTGAGCGCCCGAAGGCGCTCAACCATGGCTGCGCGAGCGGCCATTACATCCTGGAACGTCCGGATCTCACCATGCACTGACGCCGCGTAGTCAGAGCAATGGATCATATCGCAAAAGCAGTGCAGAATCTCCACCAGGTCCTGGTACATCTTGCCTCGGCATGGAAACTGCCTATACAGCCAACACTCCAAAAAGCGGTGCGAGACATCTTGGTTGAACTCGACTCGGCGCCACCAGGCTGGCGCACAAAGACGCAACACCGCGGCAGGTGTAACAACGCCCCAGCGCGATGACCCTGGGAGCATGACCTCTGCTTCTGCGTGGAACTGCAAATGCAAAGCGTTTCGGCGGTCTTTGTAGAAGGCCTCGTCGGTGTCGTGGAACCGGGCCATTTCTGCTTCGAATTGCACTCCCCAGTTTGCGGAAAACCACAGCAAAAGCCACCAAAGCTTATTGCACATTTCCAGACCCCCGCAGTAGATGCCCTCGTCTCCGTGCCCGTCCATGGCTGTGAACCTGCAGGCCTGGTTACGCAGCTTACGTGGCAGCAAGTTTACAGCACCTCAGGCGCCCAGGCTTCAGCTTGAGCAGCAGCTACCATGCATGCAAAATGGAACAGTGGGGCCACTGTGCATGCATGCATGCATGCATGCATATTTATATAAGCATGACATGCAGCCATGGTCCGCGCGCCTGGCTGGGGGATAGCACCTTTCTTTGCACTGGAGTCCTTGCAGGGTTTGGGGTTTAATAACCCCGCGCCCCCCCTGTGGTGTGGGTGTGTTTGGGGCTTCAGGGTTTAAGGTATATATAATTTAATAACACTTTTTTTTGTGCATGCATGTCTGCATTTATATATATATATATATATATTATACAGACATGTATATATACATATATATGTAATTATTCTTATTAATGTTATGATTATTATGATTATTATTTTTATGAGTCTGTTATTATATATATTGTATTCTACATATTATATAATATTATAAATATTATCTTCCATTATATATATATATCTATATATTGTGTTAATTATATGTCAGAATATTATATATATACATATATGTCTAGAAGTATGTATATATATATATATATATTTATATAATTAATATATATTTTACATGTTATATATATATATATACATTCTGGCAAATTAATAATTGCAACTGCATGATTCGGGCCGGTGCCTCATGCTTGCAGCACTGACGTCATGACCGTGCCTGCGAGGAGGAGGGTGGCGGAAGCTCTTTAGCTATATATAGCTTTAGCATTGCACGCACGTATCTATTAGAGGCCGGGGAAGGGGGGCACACGCCCACATGCATGTGCATGCATGTATATATACAAAGAAAGCATGGAAAGCATGTGCGTGCACATCGGAACCTAGGGAAACATGCATGCATGCACGCCGACGGCATCATGCACGCGCACTGCATGCTGCATGCTTATAACTTAAGCTCGTCATGCGTGCACGTGCGCGCACGCGTGTTCATTTTTCACACCAAGATGCTGGCACGATCTCGCGCAGCAGCAGGCCAAAGCGAATCTGGTACCGCTGTAGCAATCTCTTGGAGAGGCTGGAGCGGTGGCATGCTTTGCTCATTCGGCCCATGAGGCCGATAAAACTTTCGCCACAGAATAATGTTTGGAACCGCGGGTTCAAGCCATCGGCGAAAACAGTGTCGGTCAGGAGGTGGTACAAGTAGTGATGTTTAGGCAATATGAGCCAGCATGTCCTGTTGAGAGCTCGTGGTCCTCCCAACGTCCGGGAGCTGCGGAGACGTAAATTGCTGTATACCTGCAGATGCTTCATGCCGAGCATGTAGATCTTCTGCCGGCTTGCGTCGTCCAAGAGCAACGGTGCAGAATCCAGGGCCTGCAGCATATCGCGGTAAAGGCAAATGCACGTAGCAACATCCTTGTCCAGCTGCGTGGCAGCAGCATTCGAAGCCACTGCTTCCATCTCCTCGGCCAACCAGCGGGTCACAGCTTTGGATGATGCCCCCTTACTCTGGAGACAGGGGAAGGTTGTCCGCCCCTTGCGATTCAAACGAGATGGTGTAAAGCGCGCCTGTGTAACAGGCTTTTCTTGCCTGCGATTCCATGCCGAGAAGCGCTTGAAAGCAGCGGACAAAGCCCTTCCAAGGAACTCTTCGTACTCTCCCGAGACTCGACCAAAAAACCCTCTTTCTGACATGTAGACGAGCACACTTCCTTACTGCATGCATGCATTTATATTATTATATACATAATTATATATATTTATATATAATAAAATTAAATGTGTCGCAGGTATATATATATATATAGTCTCTCTCTCTCTCTCTCTAAATTAATTGGATAAAAAAAATGCATGCATATGACATTTCACATATTTTTGTGCATGCGCGTATGCATATATATATATACACATGCATGCATAAGAAAATATTGCTTAAACATTCGTCAAGCATCCGTTTGTCACTTTCCCCGTGCCCAGCAGTTGCCCATGCAGTGGGTCGAAAAGACATCGCTCGTATCTGAAGCCTGGGATGACGGCGAAACAGTGGCCTCGAGCACTGGATGGAAAACCGGAACATGAAAAAGTATGTTGTCAGGGATAATATTAATTATTTAGAATATATGTATATATATATATATATAGCATGTCTGGAAGCATGTACTTCGCTTAGGCCAAAAAAATTGCATGCATGCTTCAGAGACTCGTTCGGCCGGGGAAGTGCTTTGCAACCAATCCTCGTGTTGAATACGAACATTTCGATGCTCTGCGTCCTCGGAGAAATCGGAAAGAGTTCGGCCCACGCAGCCGTCAGGATCTCGTTTGACAGCGTTGCAATAGCTGCAGAATTCATTTGCTTTCCAATTAAACATACCAAAGTACTGGCGAATCCATTTTAAATCTCCTGTGATCGAGCTGAAGCAGAATCTGTAGCCTTTCTTGCACCAAGGCCGGTCGTCAGAAACCAGCCTGCTGAAGCTCGCTGCCAGTTGCGGACCGAAATCGGCCCATGTCCCCGGGCATTCATGATACTCTGAAAACGCACAGATCAAGAAGTATCTCTCGAGAGGAGACTGGTTGGCCAAGATGTAGTCGCAGCTCCAAGACATCACGCTGACCGTTCCGATCTCTGTCGACTTGTATGTGTTGACATCATCTCCATAGAACGTCAGTGGTATCAAACGGGAGAGATCTTGCTTTGCACCCGCAGCATCCTTCAGCGACTTGCCCCAAAGGCTTCTGCCGCCCACGTGCTGCCAGAATTGTTTCAGGTCCTGGTCCATGCCTCCTAGAAAAAAATGCTGGAAATATTCTTCCCCCATAGACCATATAGCCTCGGCAAACTTATCCGGGAAGAGGACCGGTAAGGGTTTAGATTCCACACGTCCCGTGGAAGGAACTTGGAAGCGCACCTGCACCCACTGAATGCATGCGTCCAGTTTCAAGTTGGCAGCAGCCAAGCTTCGATGAATGTCTCGCTCGGCGTTGTTTGGAAATTTCCCAGCAGCCCCCAGAGAGGCAAGCTTGGCCAAAAGCGATGCGCTGTGCACGGTGCCACCACATGTCTCTGTGTGTTTCGCAGCAGCTTGCGCCAACTTCTGCACCTTCACGCATGCATGCATGCGTGAAAAGAAAAGGAGTAAACACATCATTTAATAATATCTCTCTGATAATATCTCATATATATATACACATCACACATCATATTCATTGCAGCATTATAATATACATACATGCATATATATATATACTATGACATATAATGCATACATATATATATACATATGTATATGATCATTAACATCCAACATATATGTACAGATATATATATATATATACATATGTATATATATATTATACTAATTATATTATTTAATATTTTATGTTAATTATAATAAACACAGGATATTATAATATATCCTGTACTAAAATAAAATAATATAATATAAAACATCATATTAATATAATATATCTTATCTACATTATAATGTAGATTAATAATATAATTAAATTAAAATAATTATAGAAAATGTTATTTATGAATCTTGTACTATATTAATTTAATTCATTATTTGTATTATATAATGATGTCGTATTATATATATTCTATAATTTTTTTTCTTTTTTTACCCGCGGGCGTCACCCCCCCACCGCCCCCCACCCGATACAACCGAACCCACGCCCACACAACACCCTCCGCACGCACCACAAACCGAGCCCCCACACCCCTCCCCCCACCTCACAATGCCCTCACATTTTATATTATATAATTAATTTATATTTTTATTTTAATTTTATTAATTGTTTTTTTTTTTTTTTTGTACTATATTAAAATTTTTATTATACTCCATAAATTCCATTTTTTCAACCACATGGATATATGTTATAATGTGTTTTATTGTATAATTTTTTATGCATATTTATATATATATATTATATGAATGTTATGTAATTAACTTATATTATAATATGTTCCAATACATATTCTATTAATTGTATTTTTTGACATATGGTATATTATGTATATATATATAAGCTTTAACACATATGTATACATATATATATATATATGTGATCGATCGATGTATTCTCTTTATATATATATATGCAGTATAACATATATATATATATATGGGATATATATATATATATGAATTAATTTCACATGGCCTTGCAAGCAGGGATCCGTCCTTCCACAAAATCAGTCACAAGCATGTGGGCCAGATCGTTGTCCATCGCCTAGAGCTGTATGTATCATGCAGCATAAACTCATGCGTGCTGCGTTGTTCGAGATAAAGCACATGCCGAACCTTACACATGCGTGCCTGGCCTTCCTCTTCAACGGCACGCGTCCAGAAGGTGTTGCACTAGCCACTGAAGCACGGGGCTGCATTGCCCCACCTCGATCATCAGCGCATGCATCATGCATGTGTTCATATAGATATTCCTGCACATGCACATGCATAGCAAGCATGCACATTCGATTGGGACGCGTGCGTGCTTGAGGTCTGGCATTGCTACCTCTGCCCCCTGTGGCCTGACAGGGTACATTAAATATAATTACATGTCATGCATGCATGCATGTGCACATGCAATTCGTGCAAAGCTTATGCACATGATGCCTGCCGGCCCGGAACCTCGTCATCGGAGTCGATGAGCAAGGCCGCTTCGACATCTGCGCGGGACGCAACGCACATTCGGCCACGCAAAACATATGCATGCACACTGCATGGAAAGGCACATGCATGCATGCATGCGCAATGGTTCTTTTCTCGCGCATGTGGAAGCAGGCACATGCATGCTTTAAATTTGCAAAGCTTTCAACGTGGCCGGGTTCAGCTCGCATGTACACACGCGTGCCCCGACCATCCCCGCACATTGCAGCACAACGTGTACCAAGAATGCCAGCGCAATGAGCGCTCAGCAGCCCAAGCCAAGAACGTTGCATACAAGCAGCGTTGAGCTGAGTTCATCATGAATATCGATCTTGGTGCACATGTGCCTACAGCAATATATGTCATTTAATTGCAACTGTCACATCGCAGAAAAGGCTGCCGTTTTCACTTGTCGAGCTCCTTGCATGTGGGCATGCGTGCATGCAGCAGGAGTTCACGAAAACAGGAGTGCATGCATGCATGCCTGCCTCTGCCTTGCGTTTGCCGCGGCCAGATTTGTCCTGCTTGGTGATTTTCTTGGCGGTCTCTGCGTCTTCCCGATACAACTCCATGCGCTGCGTCGCGAGCTTCACCGCAGCGGCGTACGCGGTGCAGCTGATAGTCTCCGGATCCTGAACCATGGATCATGGACATTGGACATGAGACTATATATATATATATACATATATACTATGGGTTTAGGGTTTAAGGTTTTTTTTTTGCCATGCAGTGTTTAGGGTTTAGGGTTTGGGGTTTGGGGTTTGGGGTTTAGGGTTTAGGGTTTAGGGTTTAGGGTCTATATATATATAGAGCATAAATTCTATTTACAATTTGTTACATACGCATATATACTTGCATGCTTTATATATATATATTTATGTATACATATATCATGCATGCAAATAATACTTGTGTCATCATAACACAAACATACGCACAGCCACATGCATGCATGTATATATATATATATATCATTATTTATTTATTTATTTGTATTTCTGTTATGCACACTTAATATCATGCATAAAGACACAATGTGCACATGCGAAATGCTTCTGCAGTCCTGCTTGGAGTAAGCCTTGACTTGCAAATAGGACTGCTCCAGCTCATGGATGTGCGCCTGCATCGTCTTGCCTCCAAGTCTAGACGTGCACCCAGCAACCCAAGAAAAAGAAAAAAGAAGATCACTGCAATCTCATGGGCATGCATGCAGTCGCGAGGCTGAGATCATTCTGATGCTTCATGCTGTGGAGCAGGATGGGGTACATCTTGCACTGCTGCAGGTCGCTGAATAGCATCGGGACGATCAATGGTCCGGCCTCGCGTGGGTCGGTGGGCAACCTTAGCAGCACCATCATGCATGCAGCAGCGTCGTGCTACAGAATAGCAGGACAGCATGCATGCATGCGCACACGAGCCCGCAAACTGCTGCATGCATGCGTGCATGCTGCATCTGCCATGCCAGAATGAACCAAGATGCGGGGTTGGCTCCTTCTTTCCCTTCCCATGGCCCTTGCCCTTGTTGTCCTTGCCCTTCCTTCCTGATCCCTTACCTGCTTCGGGCACGAGAGGCACGCCCACACCAGGCAGCATGGATGATCCGCCATAGAGGCTCTCCGCATGTTCTCCCAGAACGCGTGCAGCGTCGGAACCCGACGAAGCGGCTCCGGAGGCGGCAATCTCCACTCGGTCCTCGGATTCCTCGATGTGGGTGTGCGTCAGATCCACCGTCACCTGAGATGCACACATGCATTATATATATATATATATATGTATATATTTTTATTGCATGAACATGCATGCGCAAGTATACATGTAGTCCTGCGTGTGTTGCATGCATGTATATAAATATATATTGTATTATATATATATATATACATATATATATATATATATTTATATATCATGATGCTGCAAGACACGTAGTAAAGGCACATCTCAGCATTGCCCGGAAAGTCGGGGTGTTCCCTGACATGACCCATGGCACGTTTGCGCGCGATCAGCTGCTCGACCGCTGCAACATCGGACATGTACATGGCCATCAGCTGCGCTCGGGTTTTCCATCCTTATAAAACCAGGCATGCACATACATGATTATATATACATATATAGTAAACATATATATATATACTGTATACATTGTTTAAAGATGTATACATGCATTGCCAAAGCATGCACGAGACAAGGTGCCGCACTTGTTCTTGCCACGTTCCTTCTGCGACCGGCTGAGGGTTCGCGCCACGGAGATCCTAAGCACCGAAGGACTTAACATGATCGATGTGTATGCATGCTATATAGGCAGATATATATTATATTATATATATATATAATCTTATAAAATATAATGCTGCTGACACGAGTCTTGCCCCAGTCACCTCCTGCCTGGAGCCACTTCTGGAACAAAGCGGATTTTGTTCCGCGGTTCCCGGTCTTCACAGCCTCATTCCACAGGCTGACAACTTCTTCCGGCACGCCCTTGTCCTCAATGTTCTCGCCACTGACAGCCCTGCAAGCAATGCTCATGCAATTCACACACACAGCAAACGCACACTTACCAATGAGCATGCAAGCGCTGATTCGGCAAAGCGCTGTTCATGAATGCCTCCGGAAACAAGCGTAATGCGATGCGCGCTGCTTTCCATCACCAGGCTGAATGGCAACAGCCTGTGTGTACACTTTCAATATGTTAAAATCTCGTACCATGCACATGAATGGCATGAATGCATGCTATATATAATATGATAGTTTATAACATTATATATATGTATTATAAATACATGTACATATTGAAGACCCAAGCGGCTCCCGGCAATATGGTGATGTCGACTGGGCCCGTCGAAGCGCGCGCTGGCGGCGCTGACGGGGCTGCGGCAGGGACCGAACCCGCTGCACATGGTGTGGCAGGGGCCCGGCCGGTCACTGTGGGCGGGGTCGCTGCCAGTGCTGCTGTCCTTGGCGGCACCGTCGTGGGCGGCTCTGCTGTCCTTGGCGGCCCTGCGGTCGTTGTAGAAGGGGCCACTGCGGAGCTCACGAGTGCAGCGGCGGAGGGGTCGTACAGGCACACGGCCAAAGTCTCTGGAGTGGTTGGTGGCTCTGCTGTGCCTGCAGGCGCGGTGGCCGTGGTCGGGGGGGGCAGACTTGGCAGTCCCGGTGCCGGCAGTGCTGCTGTCGTTGGGTCTGCTTTCGTTGGTGCCTCCGCTTTCGTCGGCGGCTCTGCTGTCGTTGGCGGCTCTGCCGTTGTTGGTGCGGGTGCGTGTGGCAGCGCTGCTGCTGCACTTGTTCCTGTCGCGTTTTCGGCTTTGGCCGGCTTGGACTTTGCAGCCGTTTGCCTGCTTGCTTCAACCTGCAAGATCTGCATGAAACATGCATGCTGCATGTGCAAAAAATTCAGCGCATGCATGCATGCATGTATATATATATATATATATAATATCTGCTGAAACGCATGCGCACATGTGGCCTTGGCCGGACCACAGCCTTTGCCCTTTCCAGCCTCCACCCGTTGCGCTGCAAGGGTAGCCGACCTTGAGCTTGTGGGTCGTGGCCGGGCTCCTGAGTCTTCCACTTTGCACCTGTTCGAGTCCGGGGTGTCTTCACCTCTCGCCGAAGCACCGCTCGTAGAAGACGGCGTTGCCGTTGGGGAAGGCGAGCTTGTAGGTCGCAGCTTGACTGCGTGGGCTTCTACCTTGCAGGTACTTGTGCGGCTTTCGCAGCCACTGACCGAACCAGCGTAGTCCAAGGAGGGTGCCGCCGATGGGGGTGTCTCCGTGAATGCAGCAGATCCAGAGAAGGACCTGAGTACAGGAAAATAAATTAACAATATATATATAGGTAATTTAGATCATATCTATTTTTTCTTTAGTTATCTCTCCCTCTCTCTCTCTCTTTCTCTCTCTCTCTCTCTCTCTCTATCTTTCTCTCTCTCTCTCTCTCTCTCTCTCTCTCTCTCTCTCTCTCTCTCTCTCTCTCTCTCTCTCTCTCTCTCTCTCTCTCTCTCTCTCTCTCTCTCTCTCTCTTTCTCTTTCTTTCTCTCTGCAAGATTATTATGTGAATACAGCATGCATGCATGCGTTTGGATTATGCATATATATATATATATGTGTACAAGACCTATAATATAAGAGAATATAATATAATGTAAAGTCAAATAATATATAATATGTATATATATATATATATATTATAATAATAAAGAAAAAGAAGAATAATAATAACAATATGAATAATAATAAATAAATATATAGATAAATAAATATAAATAAATATATATATATATATA